CTCTATCTACCTGCCTCTTGTACTTTTTCGGAGATTAGGTACAAAAACTTAGAAAAATAGCCGAACTTGACCATGGCAAAGAGCATGAGTCGCAGATTTTGCTAATTTTTCGAGAGCTCATTGAACTTTATGCAGTGAAATTAGAACCATTAAAAAGAGGATAAAATGCTGCATCGAATGCTCCTAAGATTTTTTGAAGATGTCGATTCTTCGAATAGTGGCCATCATTCGAAAAAAGCGACATTACTTTCGGAACGACCTAATACTTTGCTAAATGCTCTACAATTTTTCGATAAAGTTTTGAATAGAAATTTACAACCTATAACATAATGAGCCGGTCCCCTTGAACACAAATTGTTTTTATATTAAGGTATATCTGGTTCTCATCAAGTTTCAGATTAACTTTCCTCAGTTGTCAAAAAGATGTTATCCTACACAAGAACAAGAAGCCGTAAAACATTGTTGTGCATTTATTCGGAGTAAACCACATCAACTTAACAACAACATTCTACGCTTCTTAAGACAAATGCGGTGTACAATACCGCTCACAGAATGTGCAAAATCTCCTTGAATGTCGCGATCCGAAAATTCCGCGAACTTTCCGGAAATTCGCGGATTTCCGGAAAGTTCGCGAAGTTTCGCGAAATTCCTAGAATTTCGCGGAATTTTCGGAATTTCGCGAAATTCACGGAAATTTTGCACATTCTGTGAGCGGTATTGTAGCTCCCGCTTTTACAACAAAATGTAGGAGCATGATGTCAAATGATGAACAAGTGGAGGCTCGCATAAAAGCAGTGCGAAAAACAAAATTTGGCACAAGTTATTGATGAACTTAATAAGATGGCGCAAAGATAAAAGGTCGGTCTTCAATGTCCCTCGTGCTATACATGCTGTAGCACGAAATCTTACCACGCGCGATTTCGCGGTCTGAAAGTTAATAAGATTAGGTTGAGGAAAGCTCGATATCCTTAGGGTAGTACCACCGATCTTGTTTATGATCGGGCGAACTTTGTAACCACAGATTTCGTGACTGAGGGAGTCGGGTGGCAATTACAGCACAGGACAATGTAATAAATCAATCTCAAGCCGACTACGGTTTGCTTAGCGGGACCTGCTGTTCGTGTATTTTCAATCAAGAATCTTTCCAAGACTCAAGATTTTATTAGGTTCCGGAAATTAATTCCCGATTTGAATTTCAACCGCAATAACTCATACACTTCTCATTTATAATTAGATTGCAAAGTACCATTCGATAGAGCAAAGGAAGCTCTACAAGATGGCGATTTTGCTTTAGCAACAGCTCTCATCCACTTCGAGTTTCGAGCCAAATACTAATAAGATTCAGCACGAAAAATTTAGAAAAATCGTAACTCAGTTCATAAAATTCCTACAAAAATTCTAACTTGCTCAAGTAAACACTATCCACATAAAACATCTATATACGTCTTTGCCGTATATTTTCCTCTGTTAGAAATCCAGAAAACGGAAATTTTCGTGCATTTGCCAAAGTGATGCTGTGCCGTCTACACATAGGTAGTTGTATACAACAAACCTTTAGAAGTTCAAACGTAAATTCTCAGCTCTCTACAAGCTTTAGTTCTCGAGAAATTTGAATTTTAGCTTGGACCACCTAACTAGGGAAAGCTATATTCGGTACTTCTCGAGAACTAAAGCTTGTAGAGAGCTGAAAATTCAAGCCTATACTTCTACAGGCATGTGATATACAACTATGTGGGGAAAACACAGCATCACTTTGGCAAATGCAGATTTCCGTTTTCTTGATTGTTAACAGAAAAAAAATACGGCAAAGACGTATATAGATGTTTTATGTGGATAGCGTTTACGTGAGCAAGTTAGAATTTTTGTAGGATTTTTTTAAAATGAGTTACGATTTTTTTCGATTTTTCAAGCTGCTGAGTCTTTTTGGTTTTTGGCTCGAAACTCGAGGTGGATGAGAGCTGCTGCAAAAGCAAGATGGCCATCTTCTAGAGCTTGCTTTTCTCTATCGAATGGTACTTTGCAATCTAATTAGAAATGAGAAATGTATGACTTTGCGGTTGAAATTTAAAACGGCATTAATTTCCGGACAACCTAATAATTGTTTTGTAAACTTCGATTCAGAAGACATGCAACGTGTTATTTCGTCTTGGATATGTTGCTCCGATATGGCAATCTCCTGTTGTTTCGGTATGGTAATGAATCCACCTTCATATCCTTGATTTCAACTTTGATATTGTAGCTGAGAGCTCTCGAAGTTTCATCCAACCTTTTCTCTGCGATGCGTGAGGATAGGAACACGATTACTGTAGCCATAGCGTATTATTACAGCCAAGTGGCAAATACCCGAAGGGCGTCAATAAAAGGCATTGGCTCATCTGGTTCGTAGAACATGGGAAATGATATTGCAGGCAATGTTAGGCTTATATGCGATTTGCTTCACTGTTCTTGCTTCGCTCTGTATGATAATCGGTCTTGAACTTGCTGCGAATTATCGTCGGGTAGAGGAACGAAGCCTCAATTCGGCACCGTCGCCGCGGACTGCTGGTCCTTCCGTCCTACTGTTGTGCATCGTGTTAGGACCAGTGGTCCGCGGAGGCGGTGCCTAATTGAGGCGTTCGTTCCTCCACCCATTATCGTCGACTCTTAAAATCGTGACGACGGTCTGCAGCGCGGCCAGTGCGCGCCGCACGGCACTGTCGCTTTATCGCAGGGCAATCTTGCTTCTCTGCAGTGTAGGCTCCCTGCGGTAGCCATGGAAGTTCCTGCAAGCAAAAAAGATGCAGAAAGAAAAAGAAAAACCACAAGAACTCACCTTCTCCACGTAATTTGGGCATATCACTAGGCGGCAGTGCCGTGCGGCGCGCACTGGCCGCACTGCAGACCGTCGTCACGATTTTTAGAGTCGACGATACCTACAATGCGCGCATAACACCAGGACACACTAATATAACGGGCGGTCCTAAAGTGAGCAAGGAACGGGCGTCATTCGATATGGTTGCACCGTCAATATTGACTCGCGATTGAATGAGCCCGCGACTATCAGTATAAACACATTTTGTTAATCTGAAGAACTGCGATGGTGGACGACACTTTCAAATGATGGTCTTCTTTCTAACAACTCGTCGATTATTCGTCGCAATCGTGACTTGGCATTGGAGCGGCTCACGAACGATTTCGGATTCGTTCGCCACTTTTTTGCAGAGGCTATCGGGCAAAAATTCACGATACAATTCTTTAGCCACATATTTCTAATTAAAGTATACAAATGCTTCTTTGTTTTCAAAGTCGGTCTTAGAGGTTGCATGTAGATTTGTTGTATCTGCCGATCACTCTTGAAAAGCCCGCTGTTTGTGTAGTTTCTTATTTCCAATAAAAATTGATATGGTTGTCCAAACACGGCAAAAAAAGTGAGTGGTCTGTTTTGTGAAAAACTTTCCGTCTCACTGACAACACTTCCTTCACTAGTCGAAAGCATTTCACTGGTACACATAATATCCCACGCTCGACCATTTCTAAATCTTGGCCCAACGTCAAATATGTGTATGATGCTGAAATTTCCAAGAATGTCAACAGTCAACAATCAATAAGGTCTACATTTTGGCGGAAATTGCCTTTCTCAAACCTGGAAAGTGATTCAGCAGATGATATCGCTTCAAACGTAGACACAACTTTAAAACACTGTATAGCGTACGTCCACACTATGTCAACGTATCAGACCACAGACTATTCCCAGTATAAGTGTAATGAACTAATCTTACCTTTTACGTTTTACTCTCTTGACTTGTTTGCGATCTATGCTGAAGGTGCGGAAGCTCAAGATGCATCTAACCGATTTGCTTCCTTGGTGAAAGTTTAGCAGCAAAAATCAAACTCATGTGAGATGACTCAAAACTGCTGTTTAGCTAAAGTATTTGCTGATTGTCTTCTTCCGGAACCGTATCCCGGAACCGTACTGCAACGGTGTTCTGAGTTAATGGCAAAGGGGTTATAGTGCCTGTTGACGTTTAAACAGCAATGATTCCTCGTGTGTTTTCTTAAAACAGGCTTGGATCTGAACACACTAAGACGAACCGGATATGAACTTGCTGAGCTGTCCTGTAGTTGATGTGTTATCTTTGTCTACTTTTCGGAAGAATTCAATAAGTTAGTGTTTACTCTTTATCATCAACAGGAGAAAACTAACGCTCTCGAGCTGAACATACACAAGGCGTCCCATTGAATGTGTACAAAAAATGTATGTCTGATCGCTAATAATCTCTTGCTTGATGTCTTCGCCGATTTTTAGGTACCATATTGTGGTGCTGGCTTTAACTTAGATTATCGTATGGAGCAGATCATCGATCTCTCCTCATTACTGTAGGACTACGGTAGGATCTCCGACAAGGATTTCAGGCCATGGAGACGTAGTCCGTCTCAGAAAAAAAAGATCGAGCCGTAAGCCGTAGCAGAACTCTTATACTAAAATAAGTTAATAAAAGCTGCTGATTTCGAATATGAAATTTTCACCTTCTGTGATGCTTCTTTTCTAAGTTATTTCAAATAAACCGTAGCAGCTGAATTCTCAGCATTTGTCAAAAATGTGGCTACATCGTCAAAAAAGCTGAAAACACTAGTAAAAGTTGTGTAGTTGCGCGAAAACCTTGGTACACGATTGTTCAAATTGAAAAAAGTTATCAAATGGCTTGAATCACGATGGTCTCTTATGCTGGAAGTTCTTACCGTACCTCTAAAGTAACGAAGAGCGATCGGTGATTCGCTCTATACTGCAAATCGTAAGAAACTACAGAATGGTGACTATAAAAGTCGGCGAAAGACGCCAAAGCAAGAAAGTTATTAGCAATCAAACAGTGTGCACATTTTGTGGGACACCCTGTGAATCATTTTTTTAAACCTATTAGATCTTTTACTGCAGTTTGGTAAAGGTCAAAAGGGGACGAATTTATAGCTCAAGAACAAGCAGCACTGTGGACTAAGCCGATGTAGACACCCACTGTGAAATTCGTTCATTATGTTTCTCAAAGCAGACATTACTACTGCAGAGAACACTAAGGTAACTGTATTAAGCAAAAGGATGAGGTATGCAGATGCACTTGTTCTTTCCTTTGCATTCACCAAAGTTGCTTATGTCCTGAAAAGTCGTAATTTATTATGTAAACACTACATTATATATCATCCTAGCTAGCATTTCAGGAATCTCAAACTATAGAATAAGTCACGTCTTGATTTCTATCTATTGATGTGATGATTTTAGATTACTGTCATGCTATAACAATGTTCTTCCTTTTTGAGAAGCCTCCTTCAAGCTGTTTTTGAATTTTTTAATGCGAAAAGGCAGGGGATAATAATAATGGAGTTTGGGGTTTTTATTGGGATTTCTTCTTTGTCTCAAATTCTTTTGCGGTTTTTTATGTATGAAATGAAGGGCTGCTTTACTTAGCTTACAATATAAACCAGATCGCGACTGCATTTTTTGCGGAATTACGGTAGTCCGACACCTTGACGTCATTCTATTTGATTCTATAGGCCATCCGCGCTGCGCTCAGAGAGCAACGCTGTTGCGTCCATCGAAGGCTTTCATGACTGGGAGAGGCGCAGAGAAAACAGGCGGCGAGAGTGCACAAGCAAGGAGTAGCGCGCACCTTGCGCGGACGGCCTATGATAAATTTTTTTTCATGATTGTAATAAATTCTCAAAAAACTGAAAACATGTCAAAATTCATTGATGAAACCAGCGCTACCCAAAAAGGGCTTCCGCGAACGCTGACTTTCTCAACTTTGTATTAGAATAGGGTTGAAACTGCTGTAGCTGCTTGTATAGGACAAGTCAAATTCTAGGAACTGCTAAAAAAACTGCTGTTAGTATTGGCGTAAACAGACTTCGCTCAGACTTTTCGTACAAAGTGTTTGTTCTTTGAGTAGAAAATTTAGTACATCCTCCCTTCCCCACGATAAGGGACCACCGATAGAAACGTTCACAAAATATATTTTACCTTTTTTTCACAATAAGAATTACACCTTTCTTTGGCTAATCTTCTGACAAGAGGATCTCTGCTATCCATTCCTTCGCAGAGACTTATCACTGTGCCAAGGTTGAAAAGAAGCAGAAGGCCAGTAAGAGCCCACATCATACTGAAATGTGGAAAAATTTACAACTTATGACATAGTCGCATGATCAATCGTGTTGCAGACATTCTTGCAAACTTCGATATAACTTATCGGAAGTTTCATTTCATTTACACAGAGATTATCAAATTTTATTAGGTTGCTGCAAAAGTTCTTTCCCACCAAATTCAAAAATTCATAACTTGTTGAATTTCCAATGAATCTGAAAGATCTAAATTATGTGTAAGAGAGGAACTCATGCTCTTTGCAACTGTACTCGAACTGTTCGTTAATGTATACAAATGAAGGAGATATTAGGTTGTAAAGAAAGTTCCCGGGCACTTTTGGAAATTTCATTTTCAAACGCATTTTTTCGGCGCTCGGTCGGACTTTAACGACTAGTTTTTTATACCGTTCAGTAGAGGGAAGCCTAAACTTTTCAAAAACGCTTTTGATTTTTATCGATGCCAGAACATGTCTGATCTGCACATCAAAAAAGCAAACCTTTCTCACCATAAAAATTTCACAATTTTTCTTTCTGCGGCCATTTTTTTGCGCAGTTCACAGAATTTCGTCCAAATCATGGGTGATCTGATTGAAAAGTCTGTTGACTACTGACCCGCAGCTGCACTCGAGTTTGGCGATCTGCGCTCAGAAGTTACAAGCCGTCGAACTTGCAACTGACTGCATTTCTTTTCGCAGCTGGCGTCGCTTCTGCGGGAATCGCCATGCCTGGGTGATGGGTCCAAAAGAAGTGTAAGGCATTACCCCAACAAGATTCGCAGTAATCAAAGATTTGATCAGCCCTGTGCAGAACGAGGAGACTTCAAAGCAACTTACTCGAAAAATGGTGCATTTTTGGGGGCAAAAAATGGTCAATTTTTCAAACCTTTCGGGGAAAATTTTTTTGCAGGGAGTCCTTCAAAAACATGAATGGTTCCCATAACAGCCCCGGCAGAACTCTGTATAACTACAACATCTGAGCTTTCCAGCTCTCATCCTGCATGAGATAATCCTGCGCAAATAGGCCACTTTTCGCGACGACCTTTTTCCCTTCTGCGCATGCTGGTGGACCGCAGTGAGGTGCTGAGAAGCCAGCAAGACAAATATATGTCGTGGACAAGATTGTCTTTGCAATGAAGTTTAAAGCTTTAGAAAAGAATCAATCTGCTTGAAGTTACAGCGATTTGAAAAAAAATTTCGCAAGTGCCCGGGAACTTTCTTTACAACCTAATAGAAGCTCAATACCAAAATCACTCAAAACTTGAATTTTTCGTGTAGGGTCATAAAAAATCGGAAACTTGCAACAAAAATTGGAGCAGTCAGTATTGTAGGCTCTTTCACAAGCTCTTTCCAACAGTGCAAAGTTTGCGCCGATTGAGTGTCTCTATGAAAAGTTATGATTTTCGAGCAAGCAATACAAAAGGGCAAATTTGATTTATTTTGGCGTTTTTCAGGGAATAGCTGGAAAGAGCTTCTGAAAGAACCTACAATACTTAGTGCTCCGATTTTTGTTGCAAGTTTCCGATTTTTTATGACACTACACGAAAAATTCAAATTTTGAGTGATTTTGGCTTTGAGCTTCTATCTCCTTCACTTGTAAACATTAACGAACAGTTTAGGCACAGATGCAAAGAGCATAAGTTACTCTCTCAAGCAACATTTGAGTCTTGCAGATTCGTTGAGAATTCAACAAGTTATGAATTTTTGAATTTGGTGGGAAAAAACTTTTGCACCAACCTAATAATAACGGGACTCGAAAGCCTTAGCCAGCAGGGCAGCAGTTTGATAGCATTCGCATATATCGCAGCTCTCCATCTCCAGCTTCCCACAAAACGCCATTGCAAGAGCCCTTTCCACTGAGCTTTTTTTGGAGCTTTGATGCATGAGAACTGCTAAATACACTTGTGTTACCTCACTCTGCTTTTTGCACAGGTTTTACTTCTGCAAGCTGGATATTGTTTGAAAGTTGAAAAGCGAGAGGGATGTCATCAAACCAGGGCCCAGCATAAAAGTCTTGAAAACACGAAGACTTGTTTTATAGTGAAAGGCAAGAAAGGCGCTGTCAATCATGCTAGCAGGCACATAAGCAAGCATTCAAACGACGCATGCACTTAACGTCCAGATTGAATAATAAATAGAAAATGGCTTTCTTACAGCGCAGAAACAAGCATGTGACGCTAAGAAAGGACTCTGTGCGTACAATATCTTTTTTAACACGTTTCAGACCGCGAAACCGCGCGCGGCGAAAAGGAGTGCACTTTCAGCCATTAGCCAACAAAGGGAGCTCGTTTTGTAGACTATGTGCTACATCTCTGAACTACATCTCTGTCAGATAAGTCCCATACCCAAGTTCTGAGTGAGTTCGAAGTGTTTGAATTTTGTCGCTTGAGAAGGAATTCTGTGCTTTCCTGAAAGATAGGGACAAGGATTCAGTTTCTAAAAGTATCCAAAAGTATTTAGGTTGTACACCGTACATGTCAGTATTGAAACTACGGTTTTTTTGTTTGATATCGAAGCAAAGGAAAGTTGCGACGTCGCACGCGTCGATCGCTTTGCCGCACTTCGTTGCAAGTGTTGTTGGGTTTGTGTTCATATCTCCTGAACAAATATGTGCGGCACATTTCTACAGAGTCATTTGAAAAGTAGAAACTTAGGCCTTTGATTTGATAACCCTGGACTAAAAGAAAACTTCCTGTAAACGTCAAAAAGGTCCTTTAAACCAGCATGCTGCACCATGTGCAGCACCTCCGAAACGTGTTAAAATGCATAGAAAATTTCTAACGTAATAACATTCTTCAAAAAGTAGTGTTCGACGTCACAATCGATTGAGCTGATCTATTATGTTGTGGATTTGCATAAATTCGCATTTTTTTCATTACGGAAAAATTCTCCAATTTCCAACGTGGTCTCTCCTCTTTAAATCAAAAATTTTGTTGTAGTTTATTTCCGAATTCCGCATTTTCGTTGAGTTATGATATTTTGTATGCATCGCTCTTCGTCAAAGGAAATTGGTCAAAGCTAAGGGGGATTCGTTCAAAAATGCTAGAAGACGTCGCGTGCAGGGGGCGGAACTAGGGGAAATTTTGCATAAATGTGCTCATTATCCTTAAAATATTGGGTTGTCCCAAAAGTCTTTTTATTTTTGAGTTTTTGCCGTGATAAGTCATACACTTCCTATTCTAAATAGGCATCAGGATACCATTCCTTACAGATTTACGCTCACGCATATACACTCCACATCAGACACTCATATGTGCTGTTCGTATTTTTTTATTAGCTAAAAATCAAGAAAACGGAAATTTTCATGTTTTTACCAAAGTGATGCTGGGCTGTTTTTAACATTTGTATACTACAAGCCCTTAGAAAACACCATAGTAAATTTTTAGTTCTCTATAAGCGCGTTCTGGTTTCCGAGAAATGTTGGGTCAAGCGTGAAGAACCCGAGTGTGGAAATCTAAATCCGATATTCCTCGGGAACTACAGCTTATAGAGAGCTAAAAAATTCACGGTTATGCATCTAAGGGCTTCTGTTATGCAATTGTTAGTGTAAGAACAGCACAGCATCAGTTCAGCAAAAACATGGAAATTTTGATTTTCTTGTTTTCTAGCTAATGAACATATACAGCAACAGCACACATGACTGTATGATGTGGAGTAAATATGCGAGAACGAGTGAGAGACCTGTAGAACTTTTTTGAAAAAAGATCTAAAATTTTTTTTAATTTTTTGGGCATCTGAAACGTTTTAGACTTTGGTTCAAAGCGTGAGGTGGATCGAAATGTTGCAAAAGCACTTTGGTAAAATCATGGAAAATTTTGGTTTCTTGTTTTCCAGCTGATAAAAAAATACAGCAACAGCACATATAAATGTCTGATGTGGAATCTATTTGGAATCTATTTGTGGAACCTATTTCAAAACTTAGGAAATTTGTATATAATCTTCAAATTTTCAATGCCTCAACAGGTTGTTAACGAAACACTTTACTAACGCCTGATGTTTTGGCAATGACGACGCTTTCAGAAACCTGATAGCATACTGATGACCGGCGTAAAACATGCAGCCCGTAACATGTTTAAAACAGCAATCAGTGCTTGCAGGGTGAAAGTGAGAGACAAGAATCCATCAAAATGGCAACCGAAATAGCAACCAGAGGTACTTACTTCATTCCAGGACTTCCAGACGATTCTTTGCTTACCGTTCATTTCGGACAGTGTCTAATGCAGTTAAGCAATGTCTCGTGCAAGCCCAACTAGATAAAGATGTTGCCTCAGTAAACAATCCACCAGACAGCATCAAGAGACAGTTGGTTCCCAACAGAATATATGATACAGCTTGCACAAAGGACTGCAGGATATGTTAGTACGGAATTATTAGTGACTGCTCCAAGCGAAGTTGTTCTACGAAATGGAGTGTCAAACATGTAATGCCATTAACATAGGTGAGACCCGCCGATCACTTTAAGTACGTGTGAATTAACACCTAGCAAGTAAAAGTCGGCAGAGCTTGTGAGTCCATCTCGGACAATTACTGCGAGCACCCGCGGCTCCTGACGGTGCCTTTCGGCGGTGCGCGGGCGTTGAATTCTTGGAATGACCATCCGCGGCCCCAGAATTATTTGCTTGGCGACCTGCGGCTCAATGTCATCGCTAAGGAAAGGCCGCGGGCCTTAAAAGCTTTATCGGAACACCCGCGGCTCAAGGAAAGGCACTCGGGCAAGACCCGGGCCTTACTGGATGCATTGCATATGAGTTCTCGGGCAAGCCCCGGCCCTATAGGCCACGGCCCGACAAAGTCACTCCGACGAGCCCCATGTCTTGCATGACCGCGCAATTAATACATGCTATAGGAAAATGCTACTCGCTTGAGATACGTCGTGGTAATAGGGCTACCCTCAACGTTTGTGTCATTAATCAAAAGTCAAGCAGCATCAGGTTCTTGTTCATCAGTGGTGTCTCGAATGAGCCCTATTGGACTATTTGGTCCTGAGATCTGACGACCGTCGGAAACTTTGTTATGGTGGTAGATGTCGCGAAATTTTGAGAATGAAAGGTGTGAACCCATTAGTCCTACTGAGGTGTACTGCCACCCCCCCCCCTCCTTCCCGATGCATATTGCGCACTTATTGGGCGCCTGTCGGGCCACCCGCTGGCGTTGTTCGGGCGTTTATCGGATCACCCGCGGGCATTGTCGGGCGCTTACCGGGCACTAATCGGCGCGCCCTCGGGATGGGCGTGGCGTCGCTCGTGCGTGGCCGGCGGGTGCTCGCCATAATTGTCTGAGATGGGGCAAAAAACAGAAAATAAGATCAAATTCTGGCATTTGAGAAAAACATTTGTGCTCGAAAAGTCTTGGAATCATCATATATTCTTGCTCGTACTCCTTGAGGGAGGTGGTGCAGGAGGAACCAAAGCCCTTGCTGCCTGTATCCAAAGGGGAATGGGGAAGGCAGAGGAGGCTCCGCCCATCGCTCCGCCCACGGGATGCTCCCATTGTGTGTTGAGCAAGAATGGTGGATGGACTACCGGATATTGATCAAATCTGATGGATTAAGAGGTTAAACCATGGATTTGGAATTTGGGAAAGGACAGTAAAGGTTCTCAAACAGGTTTTCAGGTGCCAAGATGATAATAAAAATAGTATCATGTCATAAACCTAATATATAAATAGAGTAACCATCTTTCTAAGAGTCAATGTATGGAACACCACTATCATTGAATTTTTTAAACTTTGTTCAGAATCGAAATGATGATACAAAGCCTAGAAAACGACCAGAAAATGTTTGATTCAAAGCAAGGGGACATAAGCCGAAAATGAAGTTTCAGAGTGGTTCTGATAATAACTTTAGCAAAGAGACTAAGAAATTCTGGATACTCAGATCCAAGAAGGACGTAAAATGCAAATGCAAACATCTTATGCCTGAGAGGAGGCTCAGTAAAGCTTCACAGCTCAGATTTGAGGTGCGAACCAAATCTGGACAATTTTACCCCGCTGGCAGTTGTCGAGGCATAGGATTAAAGAAGTAGGACAATATCAAATGGGGCGAAACCAATGTAAACTACTATCACTGTTATAACAGACAAGTTTTGGTGACTTCAACTGCTTTTTCGCACTTTTTGCCGATTCTAATTTTGCAACTCGAAAATTTTTGATGAATAATTTGGCATCTACTTTCGTAAGTTCACCTTTTTGAAACAATTGTGCAACTCGAAAATATCTGATGAATAGCTTGTCATCTACTTTCGCAAATTCACCTTTTTGAAACAATTTTGCAACTCGAAAATTTCTGATGAAAACTTGTCATCTACTTTCGCCAGTTCACTTCTTGAAACACGACTTTTCAACGGCTTTTCCGCGAATTCTTCTCACCCTTCCTCTCCCCTTCCCCCCCACCCAAGTAAAATATTTTGGAGTTAACAAAGAATAAAGTCTTCACTTGAATTATGACTTTCTTGGCTCATTAGAGGACTGACTCGGTTCTGCAAAGGTCATATAATCGGCTATCGATTGGCTGATATGCAACTAACGCAGTGACTATCGTAAAAGATTGAGAAAATTAGCTCAGGAAAATAAAATGCAATGTAGAGTAAGTTTCCCGCGAAGCCATTTATAGGAGTTCATGAAAAATCTCCGAAGCTTTTACCCCTCTAAAAAATTTTTCATCAATTCCAGTCTTTGAAAGAATGATGAATTGCATTAATATGAATTCATACAAAAGTCCATTTAAAAGATTCGCCTTTCAAAACTAGTCACATATTTGTTTTCCCCTTCTCTGTATCTCCACTCCAAGTCTTTTAAACTAGACTTTTCCTTCGGCGAATTCCTGAGCAAAAAAGGCAAAACCCAGGCTCAGCGCGGGGGGCGGAGCTTGGAGGGTTGCCAGATCCTTCTTGGCACGCAGCCAGCGCTCCTCCCCTTTCCCTCTGGGATACAGGGGTCAAGAGCTCTGGTTCCTCCTGCACCGCCGCCCTCCTTGAGTAGCAAGAACGAACAATTGTCTATAAGAGCGTTGCAGTGGCGTATTGAGGGGGGGGGGGGGGCGGGGGGCGCCCTCCCCCGAGAACGGGTCGCGAATTTTTTGAATACTCACATGGGCTATAAAATTGTGCAAATGATCTGTCTGCACTTGTAAATAATTAAAATAATTTTTATTTTCAAAAATTCATTTTGGCCTTGGAAGAAAATTTTTTTCGGGGGCGTGGCTGACGCCACGCACCTTCATCGAAAATTTTTTTTGTCGTGCCCCCCCCCTCCCCGAGCCGAAATCCTGGGTACGCCACTGGAGTGTTAATACCGTATCTATCACCCTGCAAGCTATGATTATACGACATAACATTGACCGCTTACTGTAACTGTCAGAGACCGGAAAGCGAGCTAACAACTGCTACGTTGTGCAACGGAGCAGTCGTCGGGTTCCAGCTTGGAATTTTGCGACGGCACAATAGAAGAGTCAAACGTGCAAAGTGATAAAGGTGTTTGGTGGTCTAGCGATTGACTAAATAGAAATGACGGATTTTCAAGCCTTTGAAGACGGCATATCGCCGAAACATTATGCTGATTGAATATAAATGAAGAAGTTTCAAGCCTTTGAAAACGGCGTTATCGCCGAAACATTATGCAGTGAATATAAATTACGGACTTCAAGGCCTTGAAGACGGCATATCTCCGAATTATGTTGATTGAATACAATTGAAGGACTTTCAAGCCTCTGAAGACGGCATCATCGCCGAAACATTATGCACCACATGATGTTTCGTAAACAACTTGCTCTCCGTGAACGTTAGCGAAACAAGCGCTACCTCTGACTAAGGCTTGAGAATGTGAAGATCATTTTCTAAGCCTTGGTTTAGTTTTTTACATTAATCAGATTATGTTCTGCCTATTCTGATCCCTTAGAACATAAAATGATAAACAGTCAGGTGCCTTTTGTTGCAAATTCTCCTACTCTTTCTAACAATGACGAGACAAGCAAATGCGAGAAAAGTTGCAGTACTAGGCTGTTGCATAAGTTCTGTCCGATTTGAATTTTTGAGTTTAAAATGTCATAACTTCTTTCAGAGTCAACTTTTTTCCAAGGTCTTAGTTTCTATGTGTTGAGCAGTCCCTTGGCTAAAAAATGCATATTGAGATCTGCGCAAATCTTTGTTAAGGAAGAACCAAGAATGCAAAAACTTCGCAGCGTTTTTCTTCGAATCTGTCTTTTTTGACATGGTAACGCTCCCTTATGAAAATTGATAGGCATCTTTTCTAATAATGGATGGATAGAGAAATTTTCGTAGATTATTATGCAACATAAAAGAGCCCATAGGGTTTGCGCTGCCGAGAGATTTTCTTGACCGAACAAAAAATTAGCCACTTTTTGACCTCGCTTCAGCACATGTGTGCATGCCTATTTATGAACTACGAACGTTTTACAACTGACGTGAGCGCCGAAAAGGAATTGGTGGATGGGCCCTGTTAGCTCTTGCTTTGCCCTAGCACCTCCAACTTTGAGCTTGTCGATTACTTCTATTCGCAGAAAGTTATTGCTTGTAAAACATCTATACCAAAGATTTATGTTCGAGGATAAATTTCACTAGCAAGACGTATTCTTCATGGGACCGAACTTCTGCATATACTAGCATTCCATACCCTTATTCCGAAGCCAATGAAAGAACCTGACTTGAAGGGCGCATTGTGGAGATATCCTCGCAAGGACATATTTCTAGGGATAGAACGTACCTCGGCCACTTAGAGATTTTAGGCCTGTGATCTCCGTACACTAAGAATTTTATTGAATTCTGGTATGCTTTAGAAAGCGCAAGGAAAGCACTTTTCAATGATACCAACCGTATCGAATTAGAGATGAAATTCTCTTAGAACAGCTGCTTCAAACATGAGGCAAAAAAATCGGACAGAACTTATGCAACAGCCTAGTATTTCTCTATTTCACGAGTGCTCACTGACGTACATTATTCGAAATCTTCATATTTTGGAGCGAAAATTGCTTTGCTTTGAAAGATTGCTCAGGAGTGGATATTTTTGAATGTTGAAACTTTGATTTCCGCAGATTTTGCAGCGTATGGTGCAATAACAGGTTATGCAGTTTTTCGGAAACTCAAGACTATTGGAAAATTATCTCGCAGAATTTCAAAAGAATAGCCGCAAAAAAAGAAGAAAGATTGCTCCATTTGGCAAAAGGCTTGCCCTAGCTGCTGGCATTAGAACTCCCAGAAAAAGTCTCAAATAAAAATTTTGAAAAATAGCAAAAGTTGACGTAATAAAAAGGGAGGATTGTAGTTTCCAGCGATTAACTCAACACTCTATCAAGATTTACCCGTGAAATACAGCAACTAGAAAGAAGAAAAAATTCTGCGTCGGATACAACATGAAATGTTTGTTTCTCTTCAATGTACCTGATTTG